AAGAACTGAAATATTTCAAATTCAATAATGGTATGGACGTGCAAAGTGTGTGTATGAAGAATTTTTCTTACTTATTTATTTGTTACAGAATTGAAATTCACTCCAGGTATGTCGTTTTGATAAAGGTAAATCTCATTTTCTCAAAAGTGATAAAAGTGGACATTTCTCCTTGCTAATAGCCCTTCATTTCGTGATCTCATAATGTTGATCCATCTGTTCGCTCGACTGGCGTCGAAAGCTGGCAGCTTGTCTGGCGTCTTTTTCTGGCAGCTGGACGCCATGGCATCGCTGTTGGTGTCGCTGCCATGGCATCCTAGTGCGATACCACCCTAAGGCTCCAAAACATAGAGTCCAGCGTTCGAATGGAACTTTGCGTCCTGAAGAAGGTAGAGCGTAGTGCAAAATGTCGTTTAGTGTCGTCGTTTTTGCAGTGGTGGGCGGTGCCTGCCTTCGTGATAGCAAGGTCCGGTGTTTTCCCGTCAATTGATGTCGTTCATGTTTCCCGTTTGTTCAGTTCTTATCATAATCGGAGACTTGGTCTCAAAAGACACTTGACTAGTTGCTTGTCAGCTGATGTACATTTTCAGGGTAGGGTTGAAGGCGATGCTGGCATACTTGCGTTTGCCTTGTGCCGGGGATGTTCATTTTCAATATTATTTGATTTATGTGTTTTTAAGTCCTTCGATTCCAAGGTAATTTGTTGGCGCAAGGTCGTTTGATCGTGGAACATTTAAGGAGACTATGATTGAGAACACGATTTACACTGGTTAGTGTGAAACTGGTAGGGATTAGGAAGGAGGTAGTTGTGGCCTGTTTAAGGTACTTTACTGCCAATTGCTTGGAGAGTCTGGGGAAAACACAGTCGGGATAGCGGATAACGCAGCAGTGAGTCAGATATTGGATGGCTTCCAAGTGTGTCGGGGTTATACCTATCAGAATGTTGTGAACCAAAAATTGTGATTTCAGAGTTGTCTTTAATTTCTGGGAATATATAAAACTGTGTTGGATTGTTATGAATTTTGTAAAAACCATGATGTAGGTTTCCACTTCTTCTGAAAGTGCTGTGCATGTGTGTGCTTTCGCCATTGATTTTAGGTGGCTTATCATAATTGTTTAGTTTTAGTTAAATAATTACGTGTAGGTCTAGTTTTAGGGGACAGGACTAATTCAGTTTCCTGTCCAGGAGAACAGAAGCCTTCCAGTTCGTAATATTATCCTCTTCAGTTGCTGTGTTGTGAAGGTGTTGATGTCACTAGCCAACTGGATTCAGTTAACTTGACAGAAATCTGATTCATGTTTTTAGGAGAACTACTTATGATCTAATTATTAATTTTTGGCTAACGAGCATGATGGTTGGTTGGTTGGTTTGTTTGTTTGGTTTTTTTCCTTCTCCTCCTCCTCCCCAGTGGGGGTTTATCCAGGTACCAGCATTAGATTTTTATGCGTAACAACATTGAGGTGTTGTTGCTGTACAAAGAAAAATCATTGCTCTTGCACATCAGAATTCTTGCAGTGCATTTCTTCCATTTGTTATGTTATTTCTGCTTGGCAGCAATATGGACTTGCGATGTGGACCTTCGAGACTGTATTACAGCTGACTGACAATTTTTTCTTTATATGGACAGGAATAAAGCGTCTTGGTTGTTTAATGTTTTAATTAAATTTAAATGTTTGTTCATTGGAGACATGCTATGCCGATGCAACTGACTCGACCATTGTCTCTTTTTTTTCTCCATCACCAGGACATGCCATCTTCAAATCCATTTTTTTGCTTATTGTCTCAGATCTTTTCATGAATACATAAACTGTACATTTTGAAGGCACTGGAAGTTTTAAAAAATATTTACTGCCATAAAATGAATTTATATTCGAGAAATTAAGCTAGCTTAACTGGTTATGTTTCATGGGCATTGGGCCATGTGCCAAATGTTGCGCCCTCATGTATCGTCCGCGATAAACAGATTCAGTAAAGACCTCCTCACTGTTTGTTATGAGAAACTAATACTTTTTTCCATTGATGTTACATTTTGGGTGCAGGGTTCATTTTTCACTGAGTAGCATCGTAAATGAAAGTATGTGGTTTCAGTATTTCGTCATGTTCTGAGTAGGTACAAGATGTATTGTCCCTTGTAATCTCACACATTCACTCAGAATGATACACATCTTTTGTTCAGTCTGCAGAATGAGTAGTCTACTTGGCACCAGAATCCAGAAGAACATTGACAAAACAATTGAGCTTTTTTGTTGTTGTTGTTGTTGTATTCTTTTATTAATATGTAAATAATTGTAGCTCACAGCCCGATCAAGGGCACTTTAACTTAGCTGACCTTATTTATTTTATAGTGATTTCTGAAGCTCTATAAACATTCATTTAATAAATAGCAATCATAATCTTTGTAGAGCCAAACGTGCAGCATGGAAGTGGGCGCAAGACAGAGCTGGTGTTGCTAGTCGATGGACATGGCTGCAGGCACAAATTTCTGACCTTGAGTACCGGATCCGTCAGCATAATGAGATCCATAGGTATGTCGGATATGTTCACTGTTGAATTTCATTTTTATGAAAAATGCCACCCTTCCCAAGTACCAGTAGATTATAAATTCATGATTACCATGAGTCGTGCTTCTCAATTTATGGAAATAAATTTTGCTGCAAACATGTGAATCGTGGACTACGCCAGTTGAAAAGCATGTGATATGTGAAGTGAGAATTCAACAAAAATGATTTCAGAAAATAAAAATACCAATTTTTCTATCAAATATAAGGGCTGTTACCTATAAGCTAATGCTGTAATGTATTAATTAGTTCATGGCTTTTCAAGTTTCTTGGAAATTTCTGTTAAAGGCATTCTTAAAGTGGGTTTGTTGAAGTGTTTGTGTTAAACTTAAACTCGAGTACCATACAAACATGTAATTTTCATAGAGGATTGTAATTAGTGGTTTCTGCCTGTGTAACCAAGTTATGTGACATTTGACTGCTTCGTAGACAAATCCGTGCTGCCAAGGGTCCTGTAACGCTGGGTGAGCAGCAAGTGTCCGCTACCACACCCACTACATCATCAACTCATCCTCGTAACAACCACATGGTGGTGAACGGTTTCCACGGGTTACTTCCTGGTGGCGGGACGTCTGGTAAACCGATGTCAGGGTCAGATGAAGTTGTGAATGGCAATCTCCCGAGTGGTGGCGCACCAGTGACAAATTCTGCTCGAACAAGACCATTAGGGAGGAGTTCGTTCCGAAAGCGAAAGCTCCTCCAGACATCAGGCTTGCATTTGGCGTCAAAGAAGGCAGCAAGACCGTCTACAGTCAGATGTGGGTGTCGTCCTCCCCTTCCCACATGTGCGCTGTGCACGGGTCGAACAGATCCTATGGTGCCGCAGCAGCCAGATCTTCTCACTGTACCCGAGAGAATAGCACTGCTCAGCCCAACCTTTCACCCAGTGCTTTCATTTCCGGAAGGTGAGTTACTGATGATTATAGCCAGTGCTTGATTATTCTCAACTCACTGAGGTGAATATTAATTTTACAGCCCAAAGATGATGTTTATGTTGTTATACTTCATTGTTAACTTTTAACCTCTTAGCAAGGAGGAATGTGAATATGTTATTTATTATATTTGTAAAGTTTCCTTTCCAAATAAATGCAGTCAGTAGCACCGTGTTCAAACATATATTGTGTTATTTTTACTACTATGTTATGTGTGTTTGCACTTGGCCAATCACCCTAGAAGACACTGCATTAACTTGCCATTAAAGCATCACATGTTATATATTCAGAACTATGAACTTTTTTTCTTTGAACTGGCATATTTATTGTTTTATTTACAGAGGTTTGTGAGTCTCTACATTATGACGCTATAATGAGAACATCAGAATGGCAACAGAAAGCTTTACGGAGCAGCCTGAAGTCACTGAAGACATCGGGATTGTCCAAAATTGATAAGGATACAGGGTTGGAAAGACGAATGAAGAAACAGCAGGTGGAGCATAGGAAAAAGTACACCAGTCGGCTTAAGAAGACCGTCGCCAACACTTTGACAGCAAGTGAGAGTTGCGGCAACTGTTTTGTTTTTGTCTGAAATTATAAATATTAAAATCCACAAAACAGTAATCATATAACACAAAATAGTCTGAGCTATAGTGAACGCAGTAGTTTTTGGCCGCTGGAATTTTCAAGGGAAAGGCTAGGAGCGAGTCACTTGTACGATGGTACAATGTTTTGTCTGCCTCCAGGAAGGATAGGAATTTATCGGACCGAAAGCCGAAACAAAAGAAATACGGCAACCATGTCACATCAGATACGCAGAATAGACCCATTTGCAAGCTTCTCCACCCGCCAAAAACTACTGCTCTGACTGTATGAAAAAAGTGTCGAAAAATAAACTGTAATAATCGTTTGTTTATAACTTCGATGTTTCTGAAGCTTCGGCTGTTGACTGAGGAAGGAACAGTAGATGTGTTTGATTGTATGAGAAGGTTGTACAAAATTTTAGTTTGAAAGCGTGAAAGAAAGAAACTGTATGGGTGACCTAGGCATAGATGGGAGGGCAAAGTGCTCTGAAGTGAGATTCAAGTATCTCAGGGTGGGGTAAAATGAAATGAGTTTTGAACAGCTAGTTTGCGGAGTATTTGTCGTGTTGTCTGAGTTGTTTGCTCTGTTCTTTGCAAGAAATCAAGAGGAAGCTGACAAAAGGAAGGAAGCCCAAAGGCCACGAACCCAGCAACCATTCATTACAAAGACTGAAGAAGAAAAGACAAGCGATGAAAGCTGTTGCGGGTGAGTTGGTGCTGTTTGTGGTGTTTATGTGTTCGTAAAGTGCCTTTTTATGCGTCATTTGTGCCGTGCTTAAAGTAGGAAACATTATGGGAAGTTAATGTCTGTCCATATATCCACTTTCCTCTGAATGTTTTATCTTTGAAATTACTCGTAAAATTTGACATCTGGGGATCAGAACTAGAATTTGTTATATGAAATTTTTCTTGCTTAATATTGGGCCAGTGTACTGTATTTTATCAAATACTGTTTGTCCTGCAGTAAGTTGCACATGTTATTAACCCTTTAATTACAGTGGGAATTATATGTACCGCCTGCAGGCTGGATCTGACCCGCGAAAGTATTTGTTAATTTAGCACAAACCCATTTTTTTCAAAGTTGATATTTTGTCGCTGGTAGAACATTCTGCTCGGTTCTCAATGTGTAAATTGGCAAACAAATATAGAATTTTATGTATTTATATAATCTTGTCAGGTGCCGCTGTCTGTATCGAGATATTTTTATTTCAGGTTCTTTCCTGTCCGCTTGCCGCGAAGAGATAGAGGACCAGCTGGGGGTCGAGGCAACACTTCCTTCAAGTAGCAGTAAGAATGCTTCGCCCATCCCTTCCCCCTGCCCCATAATTATGGCTCTAGGTTCAGAAAGATTATCTTCTGGAAAGGAACGTGGGGATGTGAGCAGGTACGTGGCGTAAAGACAGTTTCGTGTAACACTCCCAAGATAAAAGTCTGCTTTAACTTTTCACTATTGATGCTAGCACTCGAACGAGTCTTTCCTCCTCTCCTTAAATACTCATATAAGTTATGTTAAAATATTTATATTTGTATAGTCCTGTAACATTTTGTACGTTTTACGTGGGACGACCTTCCGTTTCAACTTCTTTCTAGCTCTTTCCTCATATATAGTGATTGTGTGGCCAAGTTGTAATTGTAGTGTCAAGACCATATACACAGTTCCTTGTCACATTTTAAGAATCTGAACTAATGTAGCTAAGTACGAGATGCAACGAGATAGCAGCACCAGTGTGGAAGTGGAGGCTGCTTTTGAATCGAAACTTGAAAATTAAAAAAAAATTGTGGGTGAGTTGTGAGTCCAAGAACTTTTACAGAAAACCTTTTCAATGTTGGCAGGAGGAAGAGGGAAAATTCCTATGACATTGACAACATTGTCATCCCCTACAGCATTGCTGCTTCTACAAGAGTTGAGAAGTTGCAGTACAAGGAGATCCCTACACCAAAGTACGTTTGTGTTTGGAAGTATTTTAAACTAGCTTATTTATAAACCAAAGTTTGGTGTGTGTGACAACCATGGGATGGTGACTTTTTATTGTGTGGTCTGTTCACTGATAAACAATAATTCTTCTTTCCCATTTCCAGTTACGTATTACTGGTTCGCATCTGATTTTATGCATTTTTTTTTTCCTTGTATTGTACGTCAGCGCAAAGAATGTACTCAGTTTATGTGGTCGCTTTTCTTTCTATAGGATAAGGAGAAAACTTTTTTACTTTTTATGTCTTAAAATTTGGTGGTCTGCAGTGGCCGTCGGTCTGAGGCGTGGGTCTTGTGCTGCTTGGTCGCTGGGACCGTGGGTTTGAATCCCACTCAAGCCATGGATGTTTGTCCACGTTTTTCTGTGTTGTGCTGTCCTGTGTACAGGTAGAGACCTTGCGACAGGCCGATCCCTCGTCCTAGGAGTCCTACCGAATGTCCATAGATCAAGCCAACTAAAAAGTTGGGGACCTATAAAGGGTACCAGAAAATGTAGAAAACATTGTTAGACTGTAAAAAGAAGAAGATGTTTTAAAATTTGACTGGCTAATTATTTAATAATAAACAACTCTAATAATAGCGACGATAATGGTTATGAGATGTGATGTGTGTTTACAGGTGGAGATCTGTTGAATTTGAGGCTGAAACTGCGTTCAAACTGGAGTTGAAAAATAATGGTGTAGTCAGAAGATCTAGTCAAGAAAGTGATGTAAGTGTGATCTCATCTCTAGTTTCAGTGTTCAAGCGCACAAAACTCCGACTTAATGAAGTTTCATGCTTGGTGTATGTGCAGTGCAGTTTGGAATCTTTATCTATTCATTAGGATATATACATTGGCCTGACCACCAGCGTTCACATGACAAATGTGTGTCATAGTTTTAGGTTAATTCCGAGATTCTTGCTTCCTCGTGCTGTATAAACTTTGAATTTGTATAGAGGCTCATGACTGTGGCTGCTCAAGAATGAGCTAGTATGAATACTTGTTTAACTGACGGATTATCCGTATAGATCTTTAGAAAAACCTGGTTTCAACACATATTATTGTGAATGCTTTCTTCTTCTTCTTCTTTAGCGCTACAGCCCTTTCAGTGTAGCCTTGGCTTTCTTGCGATCGATGCCCAGTCCAAGACCTCGTTTCAAGAGTGTCTGAACGTCATCTTTTTCCAGAATTGGGTTGTTAACCCAATGTTCAACCCCCATCTTCCTGGAGGACCGGAAGTTTTTATTCAGGCTTCATTCCCTTAGAAGGGTTGGTTTCTCTACACCTATGGAGCCCCCTCTACCCCTTGGTTTTCTGTCAGGGTTTTCCTTCCCTTAGCCTTTGGGGATCCCTCCCCTACCCACAAGGCAGTGGGGGCAGCACTTACTTACTGGCGGTGCTTACTCACCAGGTCACAGGACCTTCACTGAGCTCCTGTGGTATTTGATAGGCCCTCCACCCGCTACACTCCCACGCTCTCCGGTCTTGCCGCCTCGGTCCGGGACTGCTTATTTGGGTCTCCCCTTATTCACAGCTAACCCTCATATCTGAGGGCCGTTCACTATCCGCCATCTGTGACCCGCCCAGTAGCTGAGGATCGCCCTGGGATTGTGAATGTCACTATTTCATAAAAGCAGATTGTGAAATAAGATCTTCAAAGCTTATTTTTGTTTTATTTAGCCTCGTTCTGTAGTCTCTTCAGTTCTCTTTCATGGTGCCAGATTGAAGATTTTTTATTTTCTTGCCAGTTAATATCTGTTCTTACAGCATAGCTGACGTCTCAAATTTGGCCTCAAAGTTATCCACATAATGCCATTCTTAAAACAAATTAATCTATAAATGTTGGTATTGTACTTGCACATTGTGAGTTTAAAAATGCTTTCGAGATCTGGTTAATGTTGCTTTTGTAATGTTAGGTTGAAGATTTGAATGAAGACACAATCACAGCACGGCACGACCGATGCGAAGTAGAAGAGAAGAAGAAATTCATGAGTTACATCAAGCTTCCCCACACTGGAAGGACAAGAGCTCATCGTCGCACAGATAGCAGAGCTGAGAGCAGTGGTGCCAACACTCCTGGTTAGTGTAGATATTTTGGAGCGTTTAATTTAATAATTTTTTATGTTTTGTTGTAAAGTTTGATGCACTGGACAAGTATCGAACAACCTTTAGAACAAGATTGAGCAGTGCATATTTTCTGTAGTGGTTTTCGTTCGCCATTTGCAGATGAACATTTTATAATCGTGTTATTCAGAAAACTGTAAATTATTTTTAAAATATCATTTTTGTTATTTGTACTCATTATGCCATTGGACATCCTTGGCCCCCCCCATACCAAGGCTTTGAAGTTTCAGCTAGGAATACAATTTCTGCTCATGTGTCATTTAAAAGGAGTTGTATTATTAATTGTCTGCTGTGCAGTTTTTATGAAATCAAATCAAATCCGTGGCATAACAGCTCCAGAGAGCCAAAGCCGACTAGCTGGCTGCTGGCCTCCCGTTCACATGCCTAAGCAGAGGTGAACAATCATCCAACCAGATATAGGGTGACATGTGGTCAGCACGACGAACCCCCAGCCATTGCTAGTTTTCATGACCGGATTACGCTACCCATTGTAGCTCCCCAATTTCCTCACAATGCTGGGTTGGCACCGGTCCCATACCCTGGTCGAAAGCTTATGAGAAAATTTCTTTTCCCCCGAGATTCGAACCAGGTCGCATTCCATATCACTGGTCCGAAGCACGATGCCTCAGACCGCGCGGCTACAGCGCGGGACTGCAGTTTTTATACTGTATCCAAATATTGGTCCTTGGAACAGTACAATTTGGGATTCTAAAACTTGCCGAAGTTGGTATTACTGTTGGATAACAGTGATCATAACCATTTGAATCCTGTGAGTTGGTTAGAGTGCTGTAAAATAGTAGGTAAACAGAATTAATTATACTGGGCTCCGGGTTTAGGAGGTGTTCCATGTTTAAATTATTTCTCCTGACTGTTTATGCTAGGCATTTGTATGTATTTTGTATTTAGGAATACATCAACTCATATAGAATGGAAGAAGTGCTAGAAAAAGATTATGGTAACGTAGGAGTGGACATAAACTAAATTTAACTATGATTTATAGATCCAATGTCGCCCAATAATATGTTGGATCCACATGGTGAGGCTGGAGGATCACCCCTTACGTCTCCACCTGCCACACCTCTTGCCGTCCTATTAGAAAATGATGGGGTCTCTTGTCAAACGGTGTTGGGACGAAGACGTACGATGTCTCAATCGCGTTGGGCCAAGGACAGAGACCGCGACAAGGATGAACCTCGCTGCAACACTCCAGACTTTGTGGTTGAGGTATTTTTCTCTATAAGCTAGAGTGGATGTGTTGAACATTGTGTAAATAGCTGTTCCTTTTTTCTGTCGTGGAGTGGCTGTATGTTATTTTGTACCGTTCTCAGGTGCCTCCGTATGAACCTCGAATGTTTCCACTGCTGGATGAAATGTATGAGAAAATGTTGAAGGCAATGCCAGAAGGGCATCCATTCCCACCATATTCCATGGCACCAAAGAAGCTTTTCACCAAAGATAATGAAACGGTAACTTCACTTTATTTCTTGTTATTTATTTCCAGATTTAAAATGTGTGAAAGACATTTTGCAGGTTTGAGGCGACTCAGAGATAAGTACAGCAAGAGCAGGAGAATCTGTTCAGTGATGGTGCTGCTGGCAGGTGGATGTGTATTGTTTCCATGTAAAGTGTTCCGCTGTCTCATTACGAATTGGCGGAGTCAGTAGAGCCACATTTATTTTGCTATATTTTGTATAATAAGAAATATCTCGTATTTTACGTGCGTTAAAAGTTTACTGTTACAATTCATAATGACGAAGACGATGCATGTCTTGTCGTAAGTTAGTGTTATAAATAAATAAAAGGTTTAGTAGTACATGAATAACAAGAATCTCAGTAGAATGTAAAAAAAGTGATACATTTATTTCTGACAGTTCTCGACTGTGATGTGACACCCCCCCCCAGGTTATTCTCTTTCCTTCCTCCCCTCATGTCCCATTGTCCTGCAAGGATGACTATTAGAAACACTTTACAAACAACGATAAATTATAGTGTTTGTAAATTGTATTGTAAAGGGTTTTTTCAAGGACGAACTGATGCCAATTAAAGTTGTCGTTATTAACGTCTGGGACAAAGAAAGCTGTCCTTTTCTTAAATTTTGCTGGACTCTGTCCTTCAGAAACATTATTCATCTTGAAGATTTCTGGGTTGTTGCGCTGTGTAGTCTGGTCGATGTTTACCAACGTTTCATCGCCCTGATGATGGAGGCAGTATGACCTCTGAAACGTTGGTAAACATCAACCAGACTACACAGCGCAACAACACAGAAGACAGCAATCTTCATACTTACCACTGTGAAAACCTCAAATCTTACATTATGCATCTTCATTGACACATATTATGTGGTACTTCATAATTATGTTTTAGTTTTGAGGTTATATTAAGTAAATGTTCTGCCTTTTCCTTCTTCCACATCTGAGGAACAAATTGTTTTAATGTATGTAATGTAAATCGCTCATTTTTCTTCCCCCAGAGTGAGAGTAGACCCATCACCCCAAGCACAGACTCCACAGAGTCGGCCGTGGGTGAAGGAGAAGACCCTAATGACCCTGAATGGACGGTGGAGGAGGAAAGAGAATTTGAACGGGAGAGATTGAAAGCTTCAGTCAAGAGATAAAAATAACCCGCATCAGATGACTGGCGTTAATTCAAGTTCTCGAGGATCGGACCAACTCTTGGACAGAGCTGGGTCCACGGGTAGACGGTGACGGAAGCAAAACTTAGTCTGTTAGATCCAGTGTTGTGGCACAAGTACCCAGAAGCTGTTCTGGTTGAATTGTGGGCAGCATACGTCAGTTTTTCTAACTTCAGTTCTGCTAATAAATTGATACACCTTCACAAATCCCTGCTTCGGTTTCTCCAGTGATTTCTGTCGGAAATGAAGCAGTACAATTTGAGCAGTTGAAAATGGTTTCGCAAATTGATATCGTGCCATTCACGCGTTCGGAAGGGCGATTCTAAAGGATTATATTTGAGGAGAGCGGTCGTAACTAGCATAACTTAATGTAGGTACTGTAGTGCGTACTGTGCCGCCATCGTCTCTTCGGTTAATAAAGAGAAAAAGACGCAGGGAAACTTTAGGTTTGAGGGATAAAGATATAGGAAGTCCATTTTAATCTGTAAGTGCACTTTGCATGGTGTAAACTTGCCGTGTGCAAGCTGCCTGTTCTGTCTGTAGTTTGGTCACTTGGCCTACTGGTATTAAGTTGATTGATGTTACCATAATGAGAATAAAGAATTTTGTAATTACTATTTCATTACCATTTTCTAATTCATTTAAAGATTTTAACTGTGTGCTCTTTGGTTCGAGTATACGACGCGCATGTGCCGTTTCTTAATATCGCGATGATTTAGTGTTTCTGTGCGTCGCCGTCTATCGTTACATTGCGGCGGCGCGTCCGAGAGCTTTGTTGATATGATGCGGGTTCGTGCTCCTTGTAGTTGTATTATCTTTTAGTATTGAACTTTCATCTCATTTTTTTATACGTAATTAATAAATTGGTTTCCTAGTCTTTGTGAAAACGTTAGATGCTTTATGTATCCAGTTATAGTCATATTTCTTTTATTTAAATAGTTGACATGAAAGGTCCGGTACGTTGTCTCTAAACTGATTTTAAAAAAATGTTAAGTTGTTTTGACCAAATATTGATGGAGCAGGCTTCCTCTTGTGTAGATGTTGATGTACTCTTTATAAGAGCATGTTCTATTTACCGCGTATCTCGCCTGCTTGGAATATTACGTACGTGCATACCGCAAACCGACCATTCCATGGTAGTGTGAGAGCAACTGTATCCCCCACACACGTACTATACCATATTGGTTTTTAGATAGAACTATGAAACTGATGAGACTGATACCGTTGGTCGGTGTGTATGAAGTGAACCGTTCTGGATCGGTTGTGTGTACGGACGTGGCGTTACCGAAATCAAGGTGTTTTATTGCAGAGACCACAAAGTACACTCATGTTTTGTGAGATATATATGTAGTCGCAGATTTTGTATGCATTCTCCAGCACCAATACGCTTAACCATGAGAAGAAAAAGCTTTTCCTTGAACAAGTTGTAATACATTTTCTCTGTTTGTTTTTTAATAAAATTGGAAATTTAATATGAAGAAACTGTGTAGTCAAAAAACCTTACATTAATTTTGTTTAAACTTTGTTTTTTTGGTTTGGTTTTGGTAGAGATTCAGCAAAAAAAAATTCTGAAGACTCGTTCTTTAAATCCGGACTTTGCCTCAAGAGGATTGAGAAGTGCACTTTACGATGTTATCGCTGTGCGTAGTTAGATGACGTGGCACTCGGCTGGCAAGCGTCTGTTCCGTCTCTTTTGTTAGGATACTGTGTCCGTCAACTTTTGTATCGCTACCCCCCCAGACCCGTATTCAGTATTGTAATAAGCAACAGGCCATTTGTACAGTATCTTTGTTAAACATGACGTGGCCGTTCTGGCATATCAGTACGTTAAGGATGGATAAATGAAATGTGAAACAGATGTGAAAAATTCATTGTTGTATATTTGTATTTTGTCCCAAACTGGGATTTCTTCAAAGAATAAACCCTAGAACACCACCATTACAGTGTTTTCGTAGATTATATTCTCTTGTACGGCCAAAATGTTTATGATACCGGAACTTCGCGCCCGTGCTTCCTAGAATGTGCGAGTGGCGTAGTACTCGGTGTTCGTCCTCCGTTCTTCTTACGACCTCAGTATGCTAACCGTATGAAGATGCAACGTGCCAGGCCCACATTGTGCGCCATAAAACTATCTGGGTAAAAAATTGTGTGAAATTTTCTTTATAAAATTCTTCATGTGGGAACAGCTTCATCAAAAAAAGAAATGACTCATGAAATTCTGAGAAGAATAGATTGAAACGTTTATTAACGCTTGGTTTAGAAGCTGGTGTTTGTCTACTTTCCAAGCCACTGCTGACAAAACTAAGTTTGGCAGCTTTCAAATTACTGAAATATGTTTTGTTTCGTATTTGAGGGAAGTACACAAATCTACTTGGCTCAGTCAGTATAGTGACGAGGTTCCATCCCCGACGAGGGCAGAGGATTTTTCCTGTAGCTTCTGCATCCATACCGGCTCTGGGGCCCACCCAGCCTCCTATCCAATGGGTACCAGGGTCCTTTCCAGAAGGTAAAGCATGGCCGGGGCGTGATGCTGACCACTCACCCCCATCTAGTGCCGAGGTCAAGAAATAGTAGGAGCTATACCTCCACTCCCCCCAGGCGCTTACATGGCATGTAGTGCGACAACTTTACTTTTACACAAATCCACTGGACTTTGAACGAGTGCTCACCAGAAGTTTATGGTTTTAAGGTGGTTTAACATTGCATAACAAGAATTTTGATTGCTTAAATGAGTCACCAATTAACTTGAACTTGATATGACAGTCTTAATGACTCGAAATTTTGGTTGGGGACTGAGATGGTAAGATGATATAATTCATCCGTAGGGCACATGAAGGAGAGGTAGGTGGTAATGGTTCAGAATTGCAACCATTTGTGGCTTTGACGTTCTGTTGTCAGAGTTGGTTACATTTTCTTGGGAATTCGCTTATCTTGTGTCCCGGGCTCTGAAGTGTCTGACGACAGAAGGTAATTTTCACCGCACTTCCACCAGGTGTTTCTCAAAACAACTTTGAGATCGGACAACATACAAATTGAATTTCACAACGAAGGAAACTGACGGACTTTACTAAGTTTGTTGCTGGCGATGTGTGACCAGCTCCACACGTTCTTCTCATAGCATTTCGGAAATTTGTTCGCGTGTTTAAGGTATTATTGGCAACGGTGTTTGAACAAGTTTTAATATGAAGATTTCCGTCTTCTGGGTTGTTGCGCTGTGAGAACCTCAAGTCTTACAAGTTTTAATATGCGTTACTGCTGATATCTTCTGGTTTTATTTCTTCCAATAATTACCTGTTCTGTTTAAGGTTAAATGGATGAACATTTTCTTTACCAGGTGTGAGGCTTTAAAATTTACATAACTGCATTTTCCTTAAATTTGTTTTCAAAGAAAAAAATTTATGAACAATGTTGCCACTCGTATTTCAGTGTCATCCAAGAGATTTAGCTGGATTGGCCTTTATTGATACTGTAAATCATATTTCTCTTTTTAGAATCTTACTGTAAAAAAAAAGCAGTGTCCTATAGTGAATGTGAGAAGTTCTGTCGTCGTGACCATGAAGTTGTTGAAGACTGAAGTTTTGAGTGATCTCCAGTACCAGTAATTTCCTCTAGTTTCATGAAAACCTTTTCAATGTGTGAACATACAGCCATGTAAATCCTTTCATAAAATTGGCCCAACACAGTGGTTTAGTAATGCTAATTGTTTCATTTCAGAAAATCTCGTGTGAGTGAATCGGATCACTCGGCACTCATACTCGATGTTTATACCTGCATCTGTCAGTCTTTATAATCCAAGTAAACATGCTTTGTACGGTTGTTATTAACGATCTACAAGAGGGCAGGATGAAATTTTTTATCCTTCAAATATTCTAATGACTAAAATTTCCTTTCATACTTTTCTTTTGATTATGTCATCTTGTTGGTGTCAATATATATTTTAAAAGTCCGTGTGTACCTTAAGAAAGGTATATTACGGCATTCTGGTTGTTTGACGGCTTATGTAAATAACACGTTTTACATTCTGGTTCACATTCAAGAAAGAAATGTGACAAAATTTTTCGTAATGTTTCTGATTATGCGCAGGACAAAAGCAAAATGTTAACAACAGTATCAGGAGGGATAACAGAATTTTACGTCTGTTATTCAAGAAAATAGTAGGATGGTTCTAAAGAACCTTGACAAATGTGTACATCTCTGACGTACTTTGATAGCAGGAGACAAGTAACAAAAATTCAAAATAAGTATACTATATCAAATATGGTACGTGGGGCATGCAAAAGATTGGGTAGAGGTGGCAAGCAGGGTAGCAGCCCCAAATTATTTAGTGCAAAATATGTAGGCTACTTGCTATAGATTAGAGTAAGCTGTACTCTAATATTTTTTTAAAAATCATGTAACTTAAAATACAGTGAAACCTCTATCCATCGTTCCCGGAACTATCGTTTTCCCGGATGCATCGTCCGTTTTCTTCGGTCCCGAATACATCCCATATAAAATAATGTTACATTTTCCCGCTTCTATCGTTCCTCGAACTATCGTTTTATCGCATCGATCGTTCAAAAATCTTAGTCCCGGCCCACAATTTTCCCGCAATGATCGTTTCTGAGAAATTAAAATGCTGGGTTTTGAGATAAATTAATACCGAAAGACGCACAATGTTTTTGGAATACACAGCGGTAACCTGTTATGTCGCCCAACCAGCACATTCTTTTGGAATGAGGGTCAGCGGTGCAGGGGTGATAGTTGGAGTGAATGGCGGTGCTCATTGTCAGAAATTTTACGATTTTAATTAGGGTGCACTCATATTTCGTTCCAGCGATGCCAAATGGCATGTGCACTGTGAATTTCTTCACAAATGCTTTTATTACAAGTACAAAGGAAAGGCTGGCGGCACTTTTCATTCTTCTGGTTCATCTCGTTTCCAGTGGTTCAGTGTCTTCTAC